TATATTTTGGTTGTAATTTTGATGTGGTTGGGTGAAGAGGTCAGCCATGTCTGTCTGCACTGCCATCCTGACTCGAAGTCTAGATCATTGGTTCTTAACCTTTTAGGACATACATGCATTTTTAGAAGACAACAAAATATGAACCTTTCAGCAAAAAAGACATACACCGAAATATAAATAAAATATTCATGGTTTCACAGACATTGTCTCTCTCCACCTCCCAAAATATGTATAGATCACAGATTAAAAACTTCTGGTTTAGAGTAATATTGAAAGAAGTACATTTACTTATATCTGGAAACTGTTTAACAATTCTCATTAGTGGGTTCCCCCCCAATACTGCTCATAGAAAAGGTGCCAAAACCCTCATATTTCTTTTTCTTAAAGGGCTGAAAGCTCTTTGGATTTTCTACAGCTCTCAGTTAGTTGATTGCAGGGGATGAAGAAACTGCTTCTAGCATTATCGCCTCTGTGATCACATTTTATCTGGACTGCTTTCTTGTTCTCAAAAGGCCTTTGGTCAGTAACTTTCAGATATCTTTCCTTTTTCAGGTCACCATCAAGAACTGGGTAATTTGGGGTAGTGGCTCTGGAGTTAGGGACCAGGCCTGGGATCTTGAAAGCCCATGTAGTCTGAGAATGAAACTGGGAGTTTCGAGCAAGCTGCTAGTTTTGAAACTGCTAGTTTTGAGCAAGCTGCCAGGAGCCAGGACGTGCATTTACATAGCTAGGTCTCATCCTGAGAGTGTTCATCAACAAGGAATAGGTCAGAGTAGCAGTCTGGAAGGATGAGGGTAGAGATATTTAAAACAACAACAAGAACACAAAAAACTCCACAACAACCAGCTTATGATCTAATAAGAAGGGTAGGATGAATCGTGATTCTGAGGAAGAAACTTGCCTTAGTCATGTACCTTTTATATACTTCCTGCTGAGGTAAAGCTCATTAAAATATTCTGTTGCCCTGGACCCAGAATCCAGCATTAGCTAGCCTAGAAGAACCTACGAGGAAGTGGTTACAGGTGGAAACTTGCGAGTGGAAATAAGGGCTGATGCTGACACTGTGTACGTGAGATTGGCTGTATTCTGCTCTCATACAGCCAAGGTAAAAGGTCAAAATGCCTTTCCTGTATTAACTGTATCATTGCTTATGATGATCTTTTTCCAGTCAGAAGTTTCACAACTGTTCTGCCATCTGAGTTTTCTGCCAATTAATGCCTTATCTTTTGCATTAGGGTAATCTTTTACTACTCTGAGTAGTTTTTGAGCCTGGTTAGTAAAAGAGACTGGTGAAACAACTTTGCTTTCAAAGGCTCTATACCCTTTTCCTCTTTCTTTCAAATGCGAATAGGACAAAGACTTATGCCATGGTTTCTTTGCACTGTCAAACCAAGTATTTGACTCAAGGAGAATGGGAAGTCAAAGAATGGAGGGTTGATCTGGGTCAGGGCCTGTTCATGACTCTGTAGCACGGTGTTTGTTGGGGTCTTCTGAGGCTGAAGGTCGGCCTCAGTTCTGTAACAGCAGTCAGACCTGCATACCTGCTGTGCCAGCAACTGTGCTAAACACTGTAAGTAATCCTCCCAGCAACCTTAAAGTTCACTGTTTGCCCACGAGGAAACTAAAAGTCAAGGAAGTGAACTCACCTAACCAGTGTCACAAAATGAGCTAGTGAAGAAAATGAGGTTTGATCCCATATATTTCATACTCCTTTCTTTAAGTGGACAATTTACTTCTCAGCTCTGGCTTCTGCAGTATAACCCAACCCCAACTCCCCACCTCCAAAAATGAGGAAATGTGGCTCAGGGACACTGGTTGTCACTAACTGCATTCTTCTGGGACTGATTCACTGGGTGCCATTTTACAGAGGGAGATATGCCTTTCCAATAGCAGAGGGCTCTGCGAGCATTAAATCAAAGGGAGGATTAGATAACCTGGCGGTGTCTCAAATCCAGACTGCAAGGCTTGACAATTCAACACACTCTGTAGCCCACAAATGGCTGGAATATTCTCATCCACCAAATTTAGTCTGCCCTGGACAATGGAAGATAAACAATGGCGAAAGGTTTGCCTCTTTCCAAAGTCATAACTTTTTGGACTCTAGATAACTGAGGGCAGGTGAATCCTCTTTTATTTACAGTACCTTTAGTTGTTTACACTTTCCAGGATTGCTGTATCAGATTGCTTGGCCTGAGGTGATTGTCCCAGTCATGTGTTTGTGAGCATTGGATAGAATCTGCTAGAATTTACAAACCATTATTCAGGGTGGGTTACTTTTGTAATTCCATAACCTAATTCTTTGGGTGTTGATTTTTTTATGAGGTTTTTGTCTCTAAATTTTGAAGAAGTGACTTCCTTAGTATTTGCAACCTTTTTTCTCTCAAGTGAGCTCTTCTAGCATTTGGAATCTCTTGTACTTGAAGGCTTTAATGGATAGGATCAAAATAAGTTAGATGAATAAAATCTACCATTTAGTCACTCATATTGTTATGTTAAATATTTAAAAAATTTTTCAATTACATTTGACATTCAATATTATATTAGTTTTAGGTATACAGAATAGTGGTTAGACATTTACATAACTAATGAAGTGATTCCCTCGATAAGTTTAATACCAACCTAACACCATACATCATTATTAGAATATTGCCTGTACTTCCTATGCTATATTTTACATCCCTGTGCCTATTGTTACATTTTATACTTGACAACAAATGGGCAAGCTATGCAAGTATTTTACTCATCTTTTTGGATGTGTGATATATCTCATACACAACCATCAAATGGAGAGGAAGAACATCTCTTTACACCCTAACCTGTCCTAGTATCACAAAAATAATGCCTGGAAAGGTTTCAGGAGAAATTAACATTTGATTCTTTCTTCAAGCCGCGATAGCCTGTCTTGTCTCCTGCTCTGCTCTAAAAGGAATGGATTCATCCTATTCTTAGAAGGTTTCTCTTTGCATCAAAAGTTTTGTACAGGAGCCTGTTACACTACAACAGGAGAGCCTGAGTTTTCAATCAGGAAGGTTTACTCCAAGGCTAAGGAGGTTCTTCATTTAGCAGTGGGATATGGTATAATGGCAGAAGCCAAGGGGCACTCTGAGGTCTCTTTCTAAATTGGCCTACTTTGTGAATTGCTTGTGAAAATGAAATGTGATAATGTTTGCAAGTTTGAAAACTATAAAAGGCTGTACAAATGCAAGTTGTTAATTCAGAGCAAAGCAGTAAGCAAGGAGAAAAGAATCAGTTGAACACAAATGCTGCATATACCTTTTCAAGCACCAAATGTTTGGTGCCGACGTTTATTGAACATTTATTGTGTCCAGGCATGGTTATAAATGTTTTATATGTCTTAGCTCATCTAATCTTCACAGTACCCTAATAAGATAGATATTCTGTCACTATTTTATAGATGGGAAGCACTGAAACAAAGAAAAGTTAAGCATCCTGCCTAAGGTAATATGCCTAGATAATAATGTCCAGGTAATAGACTTAATAGTGATGAGAAGAAGCTGGGATGCAAAGGAGGCAGCCTGGCTGTAGAGCCCAGACTATACTGCTGGCAACAGAATCCTTACTAATTGAATTGGTATTAGGTCTCAGACATTTGTTATGCATGTCACAAAAAGTTGTTATGTAAGTCTTGAAAAATTAAAATTGTGATAAGACATTTCCCAAGAAAAACGAGTATCCACTAAGGATTTGGATTTGGCTCCCTTCCAATGCCTAGTCTTTGTATCTTATTTATATGGTGTGTATAGCCCTTAAACATTCACGTAAAGTAATCTCTTGCACACCTACTTCATCTGCAAAATGGTGGTAATGGAATCGGTTAATATTTTTTTAAGATCTACTAAGGTTGAAAATGGTCAAATGAGAGAGTGTAGATGAAAAGCCTTGTAAGTTAAATTTCAGACAAGTATTTTTTGCTGAATGGATAATAAAAATCAGAAATCAGTTAATATAACTCTAGTAATTTCACTCTTCTTAAAAATTCACCTGCTAATAGTTGAATCTGATTCTTTTTTTTCTTTTTCTTTTTTGATAAAAAATTATCCTGGTCATCCAATGATATGTCTGACAGTATCTTTTTCTTCAACATCAGTTGGTAGATTTCTGTTTGATTTGTCTGGGTTCTTCTTAATTCATTTCATTTCTTTTGTTTTACCATTTATATCTTCTATGTTGATTTGGTACTTCTAGTTAGATGATATAAATGTTCATTTATATGTAATGAGAAACAAGGTAGATAGAGCTGAGAGAATAAAAACTTAAAAATCTTCCCTTCAGGTACCAAGATAATGCCTTAATAGTTTAACGAATGTTTTTATTGCAAAAGTAACATTTTACAATGGAAAAGTAGAAGGTACAGAAAAGTCGTAAGTCCATCAAAAATATGAGTCATGTACCTACTTAATAGAAAATTGAGTACCATAATTTTTATATAAGGTAATATCATAAATACTCTTGACTTAAGACTGAAACATAAAAGTGACATAAAAATGTATTCTTAAATATTTAAATTTACAACTTTAGATGTAGATTTGTCAAGAATATGTATCTTAGCCCTGGCTGGTGTAGCTCACCAGCTAGTGGACTGAGTGTAGGCTGCAAACCAAAGGGTCGCTGGTTCAATTCCCAGTCAGGGCAGATGCCTGGACTGCAAGCCGGGTCCCTGGTGGGGGCCATGTGAGAGGCAACTACACACTGATATTTCTCTCCCTCTCTATCTCCCTCCTTTCCCCTCTCTAAAAATAAATAAAATCTTTTTTTTTAAAGTATCTTAGTTTATATTCACTATTGGGTGCCTCAAATTTTCTTTTAATTGATTTCGGAAAGGAAGAAAGGGAGGGAAAGATGGAGGGGAGGGAGGGAGAGTGAGAGAGAGAGACACATCAATTTATTGTTCCATTTATTTATGTATTCATTGGTTGATTCTTTCTCTCTCTTTCTTTCTTTCTCTCTCTCTCTCTCTTTCTTTCTTTCTTTTTTGTGAGAGAGGGGAAGAGAAGGAGAAAGAGAGAGGAACATCAGTGTGTGGTTGCCCCTCAACGTTCTCCTAACTGGGCACCTGGCTAGCAACCCAGGTATGTGCCCTCACTGGGGATTGAACCATCGACCCTTTGGTTCATAAGCCCATGCTCAATCCACTGAGCTACACCAGCCAGGGCCATTGGTTGATTCTTGTATGTGCCCTGACCTGGGATCAAACTGCAACCTTGGGTGTGGGTATGATGCTAAAACCAACTGAGATACCTGGCCAGGACCCAGTGCCTCGTGTTTTTAAATGATAATAAATAAATAACATCACACTGAACTTCTTGGTACATATCCTAAGAAGGATAAATACCCAGAAGTGGAATTATTGGCAGAAAAAGTACAAACATGTTAAAGCTTTTGCTATATCTTGCACAATTGCTTTTTTGAAAGAATGAATTAATATTTACTTGCAACAGAAATATACAAAGGAGCTTTTTTAAAAAATGGATATTTTCATTTAAAAATATTTATCAGTTATGGCTTGTGATTATTTCAGTTGAACAGCTCTTTGTACCTGTTTTTTAATGTTAGAAATCCTTTGCACGCTTATGGAGTGACATAAAAACTAAATGAATTTGTAATCTTGAATATCCTGAACCAGAAGACAATTTTTTTTCTTTTCATTATAAAGGATGTTAGTTGGATAACTGATGACATTTTAATGTCTATAGATTATTGCAGTGACTTTCAATCGGTGTGCTACAAGAACTTTTAAAGACTTGCCATACCTGACTATGGAGTCAAGGGCACTGACCTCTTTTCCTTTAGATTACTAAGTAAAAAGAATGACAACAGCCAACACAACAATAGCTCTCTTTTGAGTTTGTGAAAGGGAAAATCATAACTAACTCAGCTTTAGAATCATTAGGATGTTTCAGTATGAGTACTTGGGGAAATCAGTAGATACTTAAAACTTTGATTTTTCACAGACTTTTCTGTGAAAAATCCACCTAGGGCACCCACTTTGGGGTTGGCAATGTGATTGGAGCATCAAAGGAAGACCTGGGGATAGTGAAAAAGTGGTAAGAAATGGAAGTAATAGATTAGGTATTAGGTCTAGATCAGGTGGACTTTGTAAGACCACTGTAAGGGCTTGGGGTTTTTTAAATTGTGTTGTCTTTGGAAGGTTTTGAGAGTATCATCTTATTAATAGCTGTAAAGGTTGCTGTGAGACCAGACCGTAGTAGAATGACAGTGGAAACATCATGACCCTTAGGCTGTTGCAGTGGGTGGTGGATGCCTGGACTCAGTAATAGTAGTAATAGTAATGAGAAGTGTTTTACCATAGTAATGAGAAGAACACATGTTGGAAGGTAGAGAGAACAGAAATTTACTGATGACTGGCCGTGTGGTATGAAAAAAAGGGGTCAAGGATGACTTAAGGTTTTTGGCTTGAGCCACTGAATGAATGTCAGTTCATTCTGGTCTCCCTGCATCATAATCTATCATGGGAGGTGCTATTTCATGGAAGTTATCTTTGAAGGGCTGGGAGATTAGTTGGGAGGCTGCTGCAATCATTCTGGAAAGAAGAAAGAGGCCTCAATCTGCACAGAGGCTATAGGCATGGAGAGGCATTCAGAGAACACAGACTTAAGAGACATTTAGGAAGTAAAAAATCACCACTTTGCAAAAACAGTTTAGGGTTTGTTTTGGTTTTGTTTTTTTAACTAAAATTGAAGATAGCTGAATCTTTTTTCCCCAGTAAGTCTACTTATACCCTAGGGCAGAGCTTACCTGAGGCTTGTGTTTGTATAGTTCTGGGGCTAAGTTAAGAACATTTCTTACTATTTTAAATAAAAAAAGGAGGGAAGGTGAGTGACAGAGGCTGTTCGTAGCCCTCAGTACCTAAAATACTTACTAAGTGGTCTTTTACAGTGTAAGTTTGCCAACCTATGCTATAGATCAGTGGTTTTTAAAGTATGGTTTAACTTCTGCTACAGTAGCAGCAGCAGTACCTGGGAACTTGTTAGAAATGCAGATTTTCAGGCCTCAACACACACTTGCTGAATTAGAAACCATGGGAGTGAGACCCAGTAGTATGTATTAGGTTGGCCAAAAAGTCTGTTTAGTTTTTTCCATAAAATAAAAGGTACATTTTTCATTTTCATCAGTAACTATTAATTTGGATATTTTGAGTATGTCAGCTATCTCCCATATGGTATAACGTTGATTGTTCTCATTTAATGTCTTGATTTGATCACTATCGATTTCATCTGGTCTCCCTGACTATGGAGTATTGTCTAGCAAGACATCTCCAGCACAACAACTTCACAAAATACTTTTTTGACACATTCAATCAGTCACAGCACCTTATCTATACACCGCACAAATCTTTTTTTTTTTTTTTTTGCGTTTCAGTTACATTTTTACCTTTCTGGAAATAATAAAGCATACTATGCTGAAAATGTTGCATGTTTTCTTCCATCTTCAATATTAAAATGGCTACACAAAAATTCATCAGTTTTGATTTTTTTTAAATGCATGCAGATAAGATAGTTATCACAATACAATGTAACAATTGTTTCAAATGAACTTAAAAACAATTAGATGCTACTAGAGCGATCTTACAGGGGAAAAAACAGTTGAACTTTTGAGCCAACCCAGTATTTTAACAGGTTCCCTTGGTGATCTGGGGCACATTAATTTGTGAGAACCACTGCTCTAGAGAAACTTTTTACCTGTGCACGGTGATACATGGTGAATAACACTGTGGTGCCTGAAAACCCCACACTGGAAACCACATTACAGAGGGTCCATCAGCAGTAGGGCAGATAAATTGCAGCAAATAATAAATACAATGAAAGTATTCTATAGCTTGTGGTTAAGGGCATGAAGTGTGAAAGCACACTGCTTGCGTTTGAATCCCAGCTGTACCAAATAGTAGCTGTGTGACCTTGGCAAGTTCCTTGACCTCTTTAAGCCTCACTTTCCTCATCTGTAAAATGGGCATAAAATAGTTAACTACTTTCTGGGGTTATTGTGAGGCTTAAACAATTATGAAAAGTAATTAAAAGAGTAGCTGGTACATAAATATTAGACTTAAAGAGCAATCTGCGTATTATGATGCAGGGAAAACATGTCAAAGTTCATTTCATAAAGGCAATGGCCTGCCTATGTATTTTGCATGTAACAAAATGATTAAGCAACCTCAGATAAAAATGATGTCGATTTTAGAGGTTTGAATGTTGGCATGACCTCTAAATCTGTTCTCATATGTAAAAAATACTAAAATTGCTCTTACAGGATTGTGAAGAAAGTGGATGAAATGTATATACCTGCATTATGTTTGGTACACGGCATTTGGTACATGGGCATAATAAATGTGTTCTCGTCCCTAATTGCCCTTTCTTTCGCCATTCCTTCAGTCCTTACTTCCAAAATTATTTTGCTGTCTTCATATTCCCTGACAGAACTAAGGTGCAGAGTAGCTTCTCGGACTGTAAGATTCGGCTTTTTCCATGAATCAAGGTCAGGAATGCCAGTATCTAGTTTTTCCCCAACCAAGTCCCAGGGCCAAGTCTGTGCCTAGATCTAGGACAGGACTGTAATCCTGATATCTCTTGGGATTTCAGCCTTTTAGCTGCCTTGGTTTGTAAAATGCTTAGCATGTATTTAGCAACACCTAAATACAAAACGGGCTTACAAAGAAATAGATTCTTTTCCCCTTCGTGGAGGCCGCAGCATATTTTTTCTACATTCCAGGGCCTAGAATCCAGTAGGCTCCAGATTTTATATATATCTATATCTATATCTTTATCTTTGAGCTGTTAAGGTTAATATGAGTTTCTCGGTGGAATTTAAAATCATTTCCTAGAATGGAGTAATAAACAATATAGGTGAGTTTAGGGTGCAAACAGGTGAAACCCCTTGCTGCACTTTATACTCATTTTTGAGCAGCAAAAAACATGCTACTAGTTAAAAAAGAAAATTCCGTCCCTTTAAACATTAGTAATCAATAGGCAACCTCCAAAAACAGCCCGAAAGAGACGACGCTGCGCGCGAACCGGCTCTAGTTCTGGCGCGATCTCGAGGGGCGCCAAGGCCAGAGCCTTTAGGGAGGAGAAAGGCAGCCTCCTTGTGACGTCAAATCAGCGGACTCTAGTACCGGCTTCAGGCCGGTTCCGGTTCCCCGGCTTTCTGGGCGCCAGAGTACGTGAGCGCGGCGGCATTCTGCGCAGGCTCCGAAGAGGGACGCGAGAAGGTTGGGTCCAGTTCGCGAAGGAGATGCGTGATTGGCTGAGGCCGTGCTGGGGGGTTCCCCAGCCCTTTCGGCAGGGGTAAAACAATAAGAGGGGGCGGTGGCAAAGGGGGCGGGACGTACGTGTTCCTGGTCGCTCGCCGCAGCGCCTGGTGCCCGGGAAGAGCAGGTTGTAAGGGACCGAGCTCGCGGCTCTTCTGCTTCCGAGGCTTGACGTTAGTTGGAGGGAGGGGGAGGCGAGCGAGAAAAATCCGCTGCTGCAGGCTGGGTACTCTGCGACTCTCCTGCTGACCTCCGCGCGACGTACCCGCCGCCGCTGTTGGTTGAAGGTGTGTAAGGGGGCCGGGAAGGGTTGTCGGTGTGGTGGTTGGAAGGGGACGTTCCTGTCGTGTGCTCTTAGCGCGCGGCAGCTCGAGGCAACCGCCCACAGCGTGAACCCCGGTGTCGGAGGTTTAGCGGTAGAGAGACATTGTTCTTGGCGGCTGCCTGACGCTGCCGTGTGTGCGGGACAGAAGCGGAGCGTTTCCTCTCAGGTGAGGGGTGGGAGGCCGCGTGCGAAGGGAGGGCGGTGACGGATCGGCGTTGTGAGGGCTCCGAGGGCACAGGTGGAGCCAGGATTTGTTGGGGATGAGGTGGCGAGCTGGGAAGGGGAACGCAATAGTTCCCAAAGGCACGCTAATGGAGGCTTAATAGGGACGGTGAGAGAGTGGGCATTCCAGAGAGGATGTTTTAGGTGGGGAGCCACTAGTCTTATCTCCGATTCATTTGCGGCTCTTATTCCTAGTTGCCTGCGAGCGGGGAGGCGGTCGCCGCCCCGCCCGTGGGGGAGGGGGGAAGAGTCTCTGTTGG